CGCTCTTAATCATGTTCAATCGGTTCCACAATCACGTGGTAGAGAACCTGGCGACCATTAACGAGTTAGGTCGCTTTACCAAGCCATCTGCTGATCCTCCTAAGCCAACGGGAGTCAAAGATGATGATGATAAAGCAGCAGCAAAGTTTAAGGCATCATGGGACAAGTACGACAATGACCTCTTCCAGACGGGTCGCCTTATTACCTGCGGGTTGTATGTCAACATTATTCTCATCGACTACGTCCGCACCATCTTGGACCTAAACCGAACCGACAGCAACTGGCAACTCAACCCCAGGGCTGAAGTTAAGGACCTCGAATTGGGTGTTGGAAATCAAGTTTCTGCTGAGTTCAATTTGGTGTATAGGTGGCACTCGACTGTCTCTGACCGCGATGAGAAATGGACAAACGAAATCATGGAGGAAGTCTTCGGCGAAAACTACGACCCAACAAAGATGTCCAGAGAGGACTTCACCAAAGGCCTTCACGAGTACTATCGAACGAAGTACGTTGCGGATCCAGCAGCTCGTAACTTTGCCAATTTGAAACGCAACGCCGATGGCACCCTCCCCGATGATGACCTTGTCAAGATCCTCACTTCCAGCGTCGAGGATTGTGCCAACTCCTTTGGACCAAACAGAGTACCAGCGGTCTTCCGTGCCATCGAAGTTATGGGCATTGAGCAGGCGCGCAAGTGGAACTTGGGATCGTTGAACGAGTTCAGGAAGTACTTCAAGCTAGAGCCACACCGGACTTTCGAGGATATCACCAGCGACAAGTACGTACAGGAGCAGCTGAAACACCTCTACGGTCATCCCGATAAGGTCGAGATCTACCCTGGAATTGTAGTCGAAGATGCGAAGCAGGCTATGGCACCTGGCTCAGGTCTAACTCCACCATACACGGTCTCTCGCGCCGTCCTGTCAGATGCCGTGGCTCTTGTCCGTGGAGACCGCTTCTACACGCACGACTACAATCCACGTACACTGACGAACTGGGGTTATGCGGCCGCAAGCTCCGACCTGGGCGTTGACAACGGTTGTGTCTTCTACAAGCTCTTCCTCAATGCCTTCCCCAACCACTTCAAACCGAACAGTGTTTACGTTCACTATCCTCTCACCATTCCGTCAGCAATGGAAGAGTCGCTTAAAGACCTTGGCAAGGCCAAGTTGTATGACTTCTCGAAGCCTGCCCCGAAGTCCAAGCCGCAGTTTGTGACTGAGTACAAGCTTGCAACCGATATCATGAAGAACCAGGAGAACTTCAAGGTTACTTGGGGCGAAGCCATCGAGTACATCATGGGTCCTGCATCGCGAGACTTCATGCTTGCCGGTGATGGCAAGCTGAACGCCGAATCTCGCGCAATGGTCTCCAAGGCCTTGTACGTTGCTGACTGGGACAAGGAGATCCGCAACTACTACACAGCCAAGACACGCGAGCTTCTGGCTGAGAAGAGTGCAAAGATCGCCAACTTCAACCAGGTTGATATCATCCGCGATGTTGGCAACCTTGCACATGTGCACTTCTGTGCGGAGCTTTTCATGCTGCCCCTTAAGACTGAGGAGCGCCCACACGGTATCTTCACAGAGGCAGAACTGTATCTGATGATGTCGGGTGTCTTCGCGCTCATTTTCTTTGACGTCGACCCTGCTGGCTCGTTTCCGCTGCACCTCAAGGCACACAAGGCAACAGAGGTGCTTGGCAATATCGTCGCAAAGAATGTCGAGGCCATTGCACACTCCGGTATCGTGTCGAAGATCACACAAGCCATCTGGCCCAATGATTCCGTACTTAAGAGCTACGGTATCCACATGATCGAGCGCTTGTTGAAGTCCGGTATCGACCCTCAGAAGCTTGTCTGGGGCCAGATCCTCGGCACTGCCGGCGGTATGGTATCGAACCAGGGCCAGCTATTCGGCCAGATGATCGAATACTACCTCCTTGGCGCAGGAAAGAAGCACTGGACCGACATCTCCAAGCTCGCCCACGACGACAGCGAAGCCGCATTTCAGAAGCTGCAGCGCTATGTCCTCGAGGGCTCGCGTCTTGCCGGAGAGACCGGAGTCATTCGCAAGGCCGCGAAGGACACCACCGTCACTGATTCCGGCCGCACACTTAACCTCAAGGCTGGCGACGACATCTTTGTCAACCTGCGCGCTGCATCACACGATCCTACTGTCTTCCCTAACCCAGATGAGGTCGATCTCAACAGACCGATGGACAGCTACATCCACCTCGGCTATGGACCACACCAGTGCCTGGGTCTTCCCATGGCTAAGGTCACATTGACGTGCATGCTGAAGGAGGTAGCGAAGTTGAAGAACCTGAGACCTGCTCTGGGTGATCAGGGCAAGGTAATCAAGGTTGATAAGAAGCTGTCACCGGACGAGAAGTACCCGTACCATGCGTACTTGACTGAGAACTGGGACATGTACTTCCCGTTCCCTTGTGGTAAGTGGCACATTAACTTCATTGCCTTCGTACGCTTTACTGACTTTGTGTAGCTCTTAAGGTTTGCTGGGATGACTAATGGTCGAAGTGCCATCGTCTGGATAGTATAGGCGGTTTTATATGAGTAGAAGCAGAAAGTAATGCACAGAAGGGTTTGGTTACATCCTTGGCTAAGCGCTCCCGATTCGGTGTGCGTATTGGAATAACGTTTTGCATAATCTCCGAACTGTGCTCTCGCAAGCTCCAAACTCTTTTATAACATAACAATCTCTTCGCTGACAACCTTCCTGGTACATATCGAAGGACTTTGGTCAGCCACATGACGAACGAAGAGTCTCTAGCAACGAACCATGTGACCATTGCCTGACGGGTGCGTATGGCATGTTGCTTATCTTCGCGAGTCCCAAGTCATCGCACGGCGTCTCAACGCTCTTGCAACTCTCCCTGGCTGGTTTTACCCGATCAACTCTAGCCATTTGCTGCTTGAACTTATTGGCTGAGACACTGTAGTTGTGGTAATTTGCACATCAGATTCATTGCCGTCGTACACTTTACTGACTCCGTGTAGCTTTCAAGGTTTGCTGGGACGACTGATGGTCAGATCAAGACCATGTAAGTACCATAGGCGATTTTGTATAAGTGAATACAGAAATCATAGGCCGACAAGTCTCATTTGCTTGTGAAATCGAGCTTTTCAAATCGAGATATATGTACTCTTCATTTTGCTGTTCAGAACCCTTTGGGAGGAACATAGATACTTGAGGGCAACTTCACGCAACGAGCGCATCGCGGCCCCAATTATGATTGTAATGCGCCAAGGCAAGGCAGATCAGGCCGTGTCCAGTTCTAATTCAGCCACACATGTCACCGGCTTTTCATTGATTTGTATACGGATTCTGACGCAGCAACATGCGTGGCCTCAAATTAACGTTGTCATCATCTTCTTCATACATGGCGCACTAACGCTGCGCTGAAACAAGAGATCCTGCAAAGAAGCGTCGTCGAATCAACTTATCCTTGTCGTGCTGATCCCGGCTCGCTGCATTCGCTTGTGTTCTTTGAGATCCCGTTGTCAATTTGACCCATAGTGTTGTCCGCTTGGACCTCACAGCCTGCCGACCTTAATCCCCGCATCGGCAACTCGACTGCAAGTACAGTGGATCGATATGTATATGTTCAGACGGCTAATGCGAGGAAGCGTGGGACGCAGTACGCATTGCGAAGAAGCAAGTAACGGTTATCCCACCGGCAATTTGAATATGTTAGGTGTGAAGCTTGACCTTGTCGACCTTGAAAACTTCCAGCGCCCTATTGACCGTTAGCTGCGATTGGCGTTCACTAGAGACCCCAGCTGCACTGCAAGACGTGCGGCGTGAGAGAGACGGTCTTAAGAGCGCCAATCACGGATGCAGCCGAGAGAGTGCAACGGGGGCCTAACGTTTACCTAGATATCTGTCCCTTGCACTTGTGGCACGGCTGCGAGCTACCGGCTCTTGGCTTGAAATTGCGCAGAGCCTCATTGTGACTTCTTCAAGGGCATAGCCACAGGGAAACAATGCAGTCAACATTGAGACCAGACACTTCCGTTCTTCGACTTATAAACCTGGCAAGATCCTCACAAGCTGCATTACCACAGGCTTCAGTGCTAACTCAGCTTTCCGTGTTGCACGTTATACTCCTCCTGATCCCTTTCGTTGTTATGGATATGCACGCCTGTCTTGTGTACAGCCTGATCCTGACTGTACACGCTGACTCCGCCAATGCGCTTCCCGCAGCTCTGCACGCCAGCGATACTTCACCAGAGAATACGAGATGGTCCAAGGAAGCCATACTGGCTCTTGTCAGTGTCTTGGTAGCCATACTGCTGTTCATGGTTGGCCTTGCTTCGCAGACCATTCGGAGATGTGTCATGAACACATTTAGCTGTACGTGTATATATTGTCTCTCATCTGGTGACGAAGCTTATTTCAATAGTCTGCAACAGGCGGCGTACTTATTATAACCAAGTCGACGATTCTTCTACGCGGTTATTGCAACAGCGTGCACAGGAGTGGATGGAGTTTAACGAATGGCGAGCATACGTAGAGAGAAGAGCGAATGCGTAGAGGGCGAGAAACCATTCTCATCTAACGTGAAATACGAGAGATCAGCGACGGAACGTCTTCGAGCGGCTGCATTCCTCGTAGTCAATCAATATCACCGACCCCGTTGTAGCTGCTTTCAGACAAGCAGCACACACCTATGCCATCCTTATTCAACGTCTCTGTGGAACTCTCCTTGTCTGAACACTAGACGCTCTTCTATAACTCTTCTAGACTAATGTACTATGGACATCTGGTGTGTTCCCAGAACCTCCTCCTGATCCTCTTCTCCCAAGCACTCCGCAGATCAACAGGAAAGTTTACCGCGGCAAAAAAAAGATGCTATCTTATATCACAACCTACCACCGCGCGCCCCAAATCTTGAAGGTAAGCAGCAGTTGAACATTGGTCAGGTCGTCCAAAAACACAAAAAGATATCTGAAGCACAACAGAACCAAGAGCTTTAGATGATTCGACCCAGACTTGAACTGGAGACCTTCAGTGACCTAAGACCTTATGGTGTTAGACTGACGTGATAACCAACTACACCATCGAACCGCGGTTGTTGCTTTGTTGCTTAGATGGAAGGTCTAAAACTATTGAAATATATATTCGCATTTGACGTGGCCCCTGCGCGTCGCTTGCCCCTCCTCACCCTGGCTCGAAGCACCATGTGCACCCCCACTTCCCCAGATCACTTAAAAATTCCAGAATCCCGCTCCGAAATTTGCTTAACATCTCTCCCGCGATGTATGGCAGTCACCTACGCTTGATTGGTGCGGAGCGTCGCTCCATCGATTATCGTGATCTAAATCGCCAGCACTATGTATCTGACACGGTTTGGTCTATCTACTAAATACACTGCCTCGCTTCCGACACATTGCGTGGACTTATCGCTCAGGAATTGCGCCTGTAGGTTTCCAGTACCTAGCCTGCAGGCTTGCAAAGGTCGGGGCCAAAGGCGTGGCTATGGCGACGCACTACACAAGGTACGGAGAGGCCAACGGTATGTGGCAGGATAGAGTGATGGAGCTTCTACACCTCGATCGAGGCTGGTTGTTGAGCGCAGAGGGTAGATCGATTATGCAGAGAAGAAGTCTTGAATGTGAGGCATCCAAGGTAGTATCGATGCCAGTCACAGATGGATTTCAACTTCACTGATGCTAGGGGAATTTAGTCTCCAACGATCGCAAGGTAACGTCATATGGCCAAAATGAAAGGATGTGAATGTGCTCAATTCTGCGTCTACATCATACGTTTTGCTACTCTGCCAGCCACTTCAACGCTCGACCGTTAATCATGTCTATAGTACCGTCATCTACTGTGGAGTACTCTTGCTGAACTGCAACAATCTCTTGATGCCAACCTGTTTGTTAATTAGTAAATGCGTAGCGCGTTTGGAAATATCGGCACTTACAATCCAGTCGCTGCCCTCATCGGTCTTGTTTGTCATGATATCCGAGAATATTACACCCGCTTGGTCATACTGCCGTGCCTGAATATTGTTTGCCAACTCGGTCAGCTGCTGGATGGTGTCTGGCTTGACATCGTCGTTGTTGAGGTGGTCGAACAGAATGTTCAGACGTTTCTCAGTGTCGATAACATGCGCCTTGAACTTCTCCGGGGCCTTCGCCTTCACACGTTGCATATCCGTATTGAGGATATCAAAGATGGGCTGAGAGCCACCGGGGATGTGCGATCGATCACCACGGGCTAACTGTAATTAGCGAGACGAAGAAATCATTCATTAAGATGCAACTTACGGTGCTTAGCTGCTGCAGGTGCAGCGACTGGCGGCGGAGCCGGGCTGGAGCGGGAATCTGACCTGGGCGGCCCACTCTGAGGGGGGCCACCTGGTGGTGGTCCAGCCCGAGGCGGTCCTTGCGGCGGTCCTCTAGGCGGTGGTGGTGTAGCTACCGGAGGTGCTTGCTGAGCTGGCGACGCAGCGTATGGCGAGGCCGCAGGTGTAAACTGTGTCGGCGGGGGCGCGATATTTCGGGGTGGTGGCACGCCTCCGTATGATGGGGCAGGAGACGGCTGCGAGCCAGGAGCAGGAGCATATCGGTTCGAGGCCGGCGCTGCAGAGGTTGGCGGGGCGTATGGCGATGTTCCACGTGGTAGTGGCGGCTGTTGTGGCGGGGCGAAACCGGCGGGTTGTACTGGGGCGTAAGGGCTCGGTGCGGACGGAGAGATGCTTGACTGAAGCGGTGATGTCACTCGAGGAGGTCCCTGAGGAGGTCCCTGAGGAGGTCCCTTTGGTGGAGGCGGAGGCGTTGGCCGGCCTTGAGGTGGGCCCTGAGGTGGTGCGCCGTATCCTGCTTGCTGATTGGGGAATGGTGAACCGACAGTGTTAAGAGGAGTACCGCGACGGGATGCTGGCTTTGGCACCCCGAAATCAGGAGTGTCGTTCCAGGCAGGGATGTGTCCGCGGTTGACAGCAGGAACAGTGGAAGTGGGAGGCATCTGGCCAAAGCTCTTTGGAGGCGGAGGCAACGAGGTCTGCTGGGGCTGACCGTAGTTACCATAGGGAGTGCTAGGCTGAGAGGGGGGCTGGTGGGCGAAAGCATTAGGTGTAGGAAGATACGGGTTCCGCGCTGGTCCTTGAGACTGCACTTGAGCTTGGGCTTGGGCTCCCAATGGGTTGACGGGTGCGTAAGGTGAAGCTGCAGGTGCAGGTGCGGACAATGGGTTAGAAGGCGCATATGGCGAGCTAGTCTGCTGCGCTGGCGTTGGCGTAGGCACTACGCGAGTGTTGCGACCACCAGCTACAGGCTGCGATTGCCGTTGAGCAGAGGCTTGTGTTGTAGCCTTCTGTGTGGCACGCTTTACTCGGTCCTTGGCAACTTCAGCGGCAGGGTACTTTGCGGGTAGCAAATCAAGGTACTTCTCTGCAATAGCAAGCTGTCCGTGTGCAGATGCAATATCTGCGTATTCCACGTACTTTGCGTACAGCGGCTCGAGCTTCCAGTCGGCGTCCTTTTGCTGATCGGCATCCTTGAAGTTTGTTACCTTGCGGAAGACAGTGACCTTCTCAATGAAGTCCTGTAGAGATCTCGCATGGATCGAAAAGCTGTTGTCTTCCTCAGATTTCTCCAGACCGGCTGCTTCGTTCTCTTTCAGCTCTTCCGTCCAATTAACGACAACCTTTTCAAGCTTGGATCCAGCCAAGTAACAGAAGGACGCGTCCTTGCGGTAAGAAGCGTTCTCTGGGATGGCTTCCTCGAGACGATCACCAAGAGCCTCGCACAAATCAGGGAATTCTGACTGATCAGCGAACGTGGCAAGGGTGGCCATAACCTCTTTCCAGTCCTTGAGATCAGCATTGTATACAAGATCCCATAGGTTCTTGCCGACCACGGATGCAAGCAGCCTAAGGTAGTTTGGCGCATCAGACTGCTTCTTGAAGTACGCTGCTTGGGCCTTGGCAACACACTTCTCTCCACCACAAATGGCGATCATGAAAGCGTCTGACAGCCTGTCCTCCTTCAGACACACATCAAGGGCTGCATCGAAGTTTCCGAGCATAAGAGCGCGAGTAATCTTCTTGTCAACCTCAGACTCTCCGCCAGTGTATACCTGGAAGGGGTTGTTTGTCTTCGCACCCTTTGATGCAGCAAGGTCGGACAAGAAGTTACCCTCGTCGGTGCCGGACTGGTCGAAGAAAGAGGCACCATCATCAGCACCGTTCGCCTCGGGCTCCTTCTCCTCCTCTGCTGGCTCCTCCTCTTTGGTATCAGCAAATCCAAGATATTCGACGAGCTTGCTTCGTGGATTCTCCGATGTCAATGTCTCGATAACTGTCCAGTCAGCCTTCTCCTCCTCGGTAACTGCCTTAGCGATTTTGTTCTCGCAGATGGCTGTAAGATCACCCTGCGCAAGCACCTTATCAAACTCCACACTGGCGTCGCCAATCTGCGAGTCTACGGCAAAGGTATCGATGGTGATCTTCGACTTGGAATCGTGGATACCGAAACGAACCAGCTTTCCTCCGAAACCAAAAGCCACACCAGCTCTCCTCTTCAACCACTTGGGGGGCGTCTTGAGCGAGAAAGATGCGCCCTGAGGCTCGACTCGGGGTTGCGAGAAGAAGTCTTCGCCTTCAGGTGCCTGAGCAGCTGCCTTGCTCTGCTCTGTCGCCGCCCCAGTGTTCTGGAGAGTTTGGACTGCGATCTTGCCGTCAAACGATGCTGTGGCGAGGAGATTGGGGTTTGAGGGGTTGAATCGTGTCTGGAAAGTCCAGTTGGTGACAACCGGGAATTCACCCAGTTGTTCGCCGCTGTGTGGGTTCCATGCAATTGTTCGGTTGTCCTTGCCGCAGGACAGCAAGATATCGCTATCCTGTGTACACCATGACAGCGACAATACACCCTGGTCATGCGCTTGGAGTGTCTTCTCGGGAGCATTCGTGTTGCGGAGATCCCAGACCAGAACAAGAGGGTTTTGGTCGTTGGGAATAGCAGTGACCAGTCGTGTAGGAACCTCGGGATCCCATGATACAGCACTGACGCTCTTCCTGCCGAAGTGGTTCAATGTGAGCGTCTCTTTCTTTGCCCTGACATCCCAGACAGTGACAAAACCTCCACTGCTTCCTGTCGCGAGAATGTGCGCGACCTTCTTGTTCCAGTCTAATGTCGTGTATTCGTCAGGGTTTGCGCCAGCCTTGCCCAGGCGGAAGGTCTTAGACGGATCGTCGAGGTCGTGGATGTAGAGCTCGCCGTTGGCACCTGCGGAGGCGAGAATGTTCGATCGGTAGGGGTTGAACTGGAGCGATTGAATGGGACCGGTGTGCTTGTCAATCTGCTCAATCTGGGCGTCGCTGTAGGCTGTCATTATCGTTGTCGCGTATGAAATGCCGAATGCTCCTACCTGGCACCTGCGCGTAGCTTCTCTGCATCCCAGAGGACCAACGCGCCGCTGTCGAGTGCGCCCGCTATTATGCCCCTTGGGTACTGTTCACTCGGCTGACTCCAGGCGATATCGTTGAACCTGGGACATTTTTAGTCTCGTGTTGTCCCATACCATGTGTTCGCAAGTTATACCTTGAGTCTACGTTGACCGTGGCAACAGGCTCAAGTTCCACCCCATGCTCGGTATCATCAAGCTTGAGCTCCCAGAGCTCCAATTGTGTGTCGCCAGAAAAGTCGGCGTCGACAGCTCCAGACTTTGTTCCAGTGGCTATCAATGGCTGGGTTGGTCCCGGCGACCACGCGAATGTTGCCGTCCGGGGGATTTCTCGTAGGCGGACCATGGTGGGCTGTGGTCGCACCAAGGCGATTCAAGAGAGAGCTAGAAAAGGAAAGCCAGATCAATCAGCGACCGAGACTTTATGAGACGCTATGCAGAAAGGTATACGTGGAGAAAACGTCTCGAACGGTGTTGTACGGCGAAGTGTTTAGCAAGGCAGCGATATGTTTGACCCCAAGCATCCACCACCTGTCCCTTCCATCATCGGGGCGGCTAAGACGCACAGGCCAGGTTGGGAAGCTACGGCCCCCGGGTCCCCACGTGATATCGATTTTCTTACAACAGTAGGTATGCTCGGGAAGCATACAACTCCA